TAAAAAAGGGGATTTACTCCTGTAAGGGCCCTTAAAGGCTGCTGCAGCTGGGGCTTGATAATACAAAAAAACAACAGAAAAGATACTGATGTGATAAGCTACAGCCAGGTCTCATTCTTGCTAAATTACGTCTTAGCAGAAACAGCATCAAGAAGGAAGGAGCCTAGGGGGATTTTCTTCCTTTCAACCTCACAGCCCTTCCGAGAACATCAACAGTTTCCGTTCCCATCTATTTATCTCATCCTCACCTCTTAAGGCCCTTCTGCATTTGCCAAATACCTTCATAAAGTCATCCTAAGATATCACACACACATCCTGCTTTTGCAGCACTCATAGGAAAATTGATATGCTAATAAGAAAACGCAACAAGTTGTTATTATTTTTTTCTCAACTACATAATTTTTCTTCCTCTGCACACCTTCATTTATAAGTTGTAAGTTCTTCAGTGCAGAGACTGGTTCATTCAGGACCCTGTTTTGTGCTCTTCATTTTGACAATATTTAATAAATAACAGCATGCCTGAGTTATAGCTGCCATGGGAATCAACACTGAATTTCTCAATTCCAGTGCAATCATACAGATAATGCTATGCTGTCATTTCACACTGAACATGCTAATTGTATTTTATACAACTTTCAGTAGAACTTTACTAATTTTAAATGTACCTGCCATTGCTTTCAAGAGCAGCATTGGGAAAATGTGCTTCATCCAAAAAAAAAAAAAAAAAAGGCAACGGGAAACGTCATGACAGATACGTTCTTCGCATTAGTATGGAACAGGCCTCTGCAAGTCTCAGTACAAATGTTATACAGAAGGACTGTCAGACTGTTCTCTGTCTGCTCATTTTTCACAATTTTGTTTTTCTTTTCAGATTTCTTTCTTGAATCCTAATGTCATCCAACCGCAATTTGCTATTGCAACAATATTTTCTGCTTTCACTTTCCAAACATAAATCTCATCCCCTGAAGTCTTCACCACAATAAACAATTCTGACCCAAACAAAGCTTTATGTTAGTCTACATAGCTCTTCTCATGAGCAACAGTCATTAACGGAATCCTACCTTAAATCTGTCAAACTTCCAATTTATTTATAGAACAAAGATATGAAAGGATCAGAGCCCTGCACAATGTGGATGAAATTATATACCTAGGAACTATTTAATAATGTTGGATTTTTTCCCTGTGCCTGCACAGCCTCCCTCAGTCTCTCCTTCTTCATGCAGCTTAGCCTTTTGCTTCAAAGGCATCTGGGTTGCTTTAAAAATTTCCCATGCAGCACTGATGTGGGGGCAATTAGGTGTGGGGGCATTTCAGCTTTTTAATTAAAAGGTAAACTATAAAGCAGCCTGGGCCCGCTCAGTGCTGAAACAGGGTTAGGGCAGAACTACAGATCCTCTGCCTTTGATGGCTGACAGGAACCCACTGCGTTCTTCTCACCAGGACACAGACAGGATTCCCTCACATTTCGGGAGAAAAATATTAGAAGGTGCCCATTCATCTTTAAAACAACTCACTATTAAATCTGATACCAAATGCACAGCACCAAGTACACAGAGTGGTCTCTGGGTGACACACTAATGAGGTGAAGGACCAGACCTGAACAGCACTACAATTCACAAGAGCTTAGACAGAACAAACATACAGGGGAAGGAAGAAAAAGGACAATTAAAAAAAAAAAAGAAAAAAAAAAAAAGACAAGACCTTTCTTTCAATTCAAATGATTAGAAGACAGGATGGAGAAACACAGTGGTGTCTCTCTGACCACTGCTAATAGCAGATGCATAAGTGAAGAAATAGGGGGTTTGGACAGGAACCTCTCCATGTGGGGTTTCTGGATCCTAAACCAGAAAAAGAAGTTTGTGCCTTACTGCGCTTGCATTTGCCAAAGGAACAAAGGCACAGTGGAAACCAAAAACATTCTCCACCTTGGCGAGTTGCAGAGGGTACTGCAAGTTAAATATTGCGTTATCATTTTATTCAAATATTCATTCACTATTGTAAGATTACTTGCAGCAGTAGGTATGGTGGGGGTAAGCCCATCTTGTAGAGAGTCACAGGAATAAGTGAATTCAACGGTCAAAGCAGCCATTTACAATGATATTATCCTCATTTGGTGCACCTTCAGAAAAGGCTGCGTGATTTCAGGTATAGTCTGCCAAGCCACAAGTATTCGTTTATGTCCTAAAAAGTCTTAGTGCTAAAAATCAAAGTCAAATACACTGTTCAAATACACTATTGCTTATTTTTTGAGGTGATTAAGTACAAAAATCTCTCATCAACTGCGGTAACTGTTGCATGCATCAAGTGATTGGCTTTTTAAAAAAAAAAAAAATCTGTGACAATTTTGAAAGATTAAAAATATTTGTATTTGTTTGGAAGATTTTGCAAACCCCATAACTCTAGGGAGCCTTCCAGCAAACTTGTTTATGAGGAAGAGAAATAACAAAGCATATTTTAAACATCAAGGACAACAGTATAATATGGCTTCTAAGTTATTAAATCTTGGATTTGCGAGATCCAAGGAAGATCTGAGTGCTCAGGATGTTGCATTATACATACGATCAACTGAAGAGCAGATTAAATTTTTTGAAGAAATCTCCCTCTGGTGGTTAAAGAGGGAATTCAAGTTTTTTCTAACCATCTGTTGACTCAGCCAACCATAGACTGTTCAAGTCTTACTAAATAAATATTTTCTATAAAAGTCAGACAAGGTGGGGGAAGCCTAGTACTATTGTGTCCATTCCATAGTGGCTACCTGTAATTTGGAATACAAAAAAACCCAGAAGCCAAAAACAAAACCTCAGACTTAAGTTTCCTCTCACTGCTCACAACTGCTGTGAGTTCCAGCAGAGGGCCAAAAGCAGAATTTTTTATTTTAAAAACCAGCCATATGACAGCCATAATCAACTACAAACATACATCTGAAATTACACTGGAATTTTGTCTTGCTATGCTAGTAGTTTAGAAAGTTAATTTGGTTAGCTGGGTTTTAAAGGGTAAGTTATTTAACTCAAAGAAAGCATCGTTAAGAATTCATTTTTAGACCAGTACTGCTGAAGATGCAAGTGTAGATTTTAGCAGAAGAGATACCTTATTTCAATTAGTGGGGGTTCAGCATCTTCAGAAACCTGGTGAGTTTTGCAGAGAACGAGTGTGCTGCTCAGAGGAAGAGTCTTCCCTTCGCATTTTGTAATACATGAACCATGTAAATCAGTAATTCTGCTAGGTAAGCAAGGGCTCAGGGTCCTGATTCGTAGCACTGTTAGTGGGATATACAGCCTTTAAGCTCCAAGTCAAAAGTTCAAATGTAGTCCAGTATTGATGAAACACAAGTTTTTCAATAATTTGAGCCCAGCTGTGGCAAATCGCCTCCACACAGTGCAAGGCCAGTGTATTGAAGTCAGCTTCTTAACGTAATTGCACATGTGGTAAAGACACAAAGCTGAATGAGGGAGCTGGTTTTGTACACCACTGTTGCCTGCCGTAGCACTAAAAAATTTAATGTTCCAGTCCTACATGAGAAAGGAAGAAAACAAATAAAAACTAAAAACACCCAAAGCTTTAAAGAATTCCAACAGCTCTCATGATTTGCTTCTGAAGACAGTTATCCAACTTCCTCAATACTATCTCTGAAATCCCCATGACTGAAAACAGGTGCTAGTTTAAATACTAAAAAGGACACTCTGGGTCCCACATCAAGCACCAAAACTATTTCAATATGAAATAAGACAATTCAGGAAGATGCCTGTGGTGTTAGCATTATCTCAGTTAGAACATGCATGCAGAATAGCCATGAAACATGCTGTTTCTACAGGCTTTTCTATTCGTGTGCCCAAAAACTGTTTAGGAAAGGAAGAAGTCTTAACACAGTTTCACTGCTGACAGAAGTTTGCAAACCCACGACCAGAATTTTGCTTCTCAGGTTTGCCCCAGAAAGCCTATGGGAAGGTCTGTACAGAATGGTCCATTGGATTTCTGGAGACCAACTATGTTCATCTTGTTATCAAAATTGAGCCCAATGGTATTAGAGTCTCTGGAATGGAATACAAGACCTTTTAAATCAAACATACAGCATACAATAGGCAAACATTTTTCTATCAGACTACAAATTCATTGAAGAGCACTCACAGTTCTCTGTTACTCAAATTACACTTGGCATAATTTAGGATCCAAGTACAATACAAATGACAGCAGTTTCCAGCAATTCAGGTTTGCTGTCCTTCAAAAACAAATAGACAAAAAAACCTTCCACCCATTGAATCAACAACTCCTTTTCACAACTGTTAAATTTTTACAGAGAGATATAAATCAGACCTGACCTTACTAACCTGGACTCTATTTGCAACAGGTTAAAATTGGCATTATTGTAAAGCTGATAGAGAACTTGGGACATGGAAGTATACTTGCTATGGTCAATCCTTATTTTTAAGGTAATGGGTATGGAAAATAAATAAGCTTAACAATACTAATATAGTCTTTTAAAGTGTTTGTTTTAATTAAAAAAGTTTGTCAAACGATGGGTATTTACAAAACATTGAGCCTTTCAATTCCGTTATAACACAGTACACAAAACTTAAAGTAGAATATTATACAAATCTAAAATATAATAAGACATCAATAAAACTCATGTGATTGATTTAATAAAAACTACAGCATTTCCCAAATAGGAAAGATAAAATATGAACCAGCACAGCTTGAACTGAATATGCAGACTTCCAATAGATCCATTAGAGACAGCCTCTGGGTAGTCTTGTCATTGATGCTAGATCAAACCCATGGCTTATCTGTTGAATGTAAACTGTACATACAAAATTTACAGATATTTTCAAAGGCTCCTTCTTAGTCTTTGCAAAGATGTTATGATTAACTCAATACAATTGATGCAATCTCTCTGTCTAGGAAGCGTTTCTGTATAAGGGCTTAACTTGTCTGCCCAAAAGACAGAAAGAATTTCAATTCTTCTGAATAAGGCAGAACCCAAATTTAAAAAGGCCATTTCTACTAGGCTACATACATTGAGTGTCCTTTCATATCACAGACAGAAAGAAAAGAAAAACCCAGATGACTCAAACCAGGATAGGGAGCAGGATATTGTAAACTCTTCAGAAATCCATGCATTTGCTTGCAGAGAATCTTTACTCAGTGCTTTCAGAGAAAGGCAACATATACCTCACCTAGTATCTGATATAAATAGGTAAGAAGACTGGCATGCATAGAGTTAGACAGCTTCATTATGCAAAAGAAAATGAAGCAGAAATCTGTTCGTGGTTCTCTTTCCTTTTATACAGTATACAAGACTTGAGATCAGCTGATGTTTCACCTTGATCAGTAACAGAAGGCCAGCTGAACACTTCATTTCACTGTGTTACTGGCAAAGCAACATTAACAGGCACTTGGCTAGGCTGTTGGGCTGGTGACCCATTATTGAGAGGTTGTTGTGGAACAGCAGCTGGTTCCATTTTGCTGATGTGTGTTATGAAGCGTAACCGAAGTTTCAAAGCTGGTCTTAAATTACAAATTATTTTCTCAACCTGTTTTAAACAAAAAAAAAAAAGACAGAAATGCGTTTGGTAAAACAGGAGTATTTTGACATATGTCGCTACTGTACACAAACATCACATTAGCACACCAAAAAGAGGAAAAAGATGTAGTAAATAGTGGTATTTATGTAAATATTTTATTTAGCATGTTAACTTTTGGACCTCGTCTGATAACTAACCTTAAAAAACCCTACCTGGTGTAACAGCTCTACACCAAAGCTTTGCAAAAGAATTCACACAATTGACACTTTTAAAAGTGCATACTGTTATAACCTAAACTTAAATTGGCTGAATGATTTTTCACTGAACATGGATGCGTTCTTGCTTTTGTCACATGTCAAGTTATATTAATGAATCATAAATTAGGTAAAAACTTAAAAGATATAGATTGAAATGAGGAAAAGTTATGAAACATCCAAGAGCTTTATTTCTAGTGATTGTTTTAATAATAGTACTTAAAGCACCCTCAAGCTATATCTTAAATTTCAGACTACAGAAATTAATCTTGAAATCTGAGATACCTAGTCTACTGCATCTGAAGCTTTTAAATGCGTAGAAGTGCACCCACTTCCTAACTTGCATATAGAGACTAGTCAACTGTTAAGCATTTTGTTGTACTGCTACCTATGAAAATAATTCATAAAAAGATTAAATTTCTATATGAGAAGAAAGATAATTAAAGTATCAATATCTACTGTTTACTTACTTGGTCTTTCACACTGTCACCTGTAAACATATACTTCATGTGATATAAGAAGTCACATATAGGATCCATGTAGTTCAGGTGCGAGCTGTACCGATCTGCATTCAGGAGCATTTCATAAAATGCCACTCCAATCTGTTTCCACAGACACAAAAAGCACCCCACATTAAAACAGCTTTTAAAATGCTTTAGAGTAGAAATACAGTTAAACAGTGTAACAAACATACGTACCACTTTTTAAGTACCTGTGATTCCTAACTATTTACTTTCTTGCAAGGACAAATAGGCAGGTCTAACTCATCCCATTATGCTTAACTAAATGATCCCATTTTCCCAAGTTAACTTCCAGTGAGTGCAATGATGGTATTTTGGTACATGCTACATAATTAGTGCTTAAACATCACTGACTGCATGGTTTGAGTAAGTGCCTACTAAATCTGCAAGTGTAGACCTTGGTAAATAACTAGGAAAAGTTTAGCACAAGATTTGAGTCTTCTAGAGAGAAGACATTACAGTTTACTGCATTCAGTTTGACCATTCAGCCCTGAACTGGTCAGGCAGTTGGACTAGATGATCGTTCTACGTCCCTTCCAACTGAAACAGTCTATTCTATCTAGACTCCAGCAAGGTCTTCAGCAAATGCATACAGTGCATTTTAATGGTTCCAGCATTCTCTACAAAGAGCTTACAACTACAATGTTTGAATATACTTACTAAGGAAGTGTTGTGTGCGAACATATGTCAGCCTAAGACCATTTAAAGATGGCAACGTGAAACTTGAACTTTGTGCTTGGTCATTTAAGTCACATGATAATTGCTGCCTACTCTGAGGGTACCAACCTCTCGCGATTTCCTCACACTGAAAGCAACTCCTCGCAAAGAAAAAGGAGTGGTATGGGAATGTTAAGAAACACGGAAAGACGACAGCTTTTTAACTTTTACTTGTATTTTGGTTCAATACAGAGAATGCAGGCACAAAAAAAAACTTCCTTCCTGATGAAGGAAGGAAGAAATCAGTCAAAGCAATACTTACAAGCTATTTATAGTATTACACAGGAATCTATAAAATGATACTGATCTATGCCTAAACAGTACTTTCTGTTGCTCTCCAGTACTTTTACTTAAGCACTGCTTTATGAAAAAAAACTTTCTACATGACTTTTATTGTACCTTTAAGACAAAAAAGAAAAAAAAAAAAAAAGAAAAAAAGGAAAAAAAAAGCATTCCTACAGAATTATATATGTATTTTTTGCTTCATACTTCCAAAGTATACTTAAAAAGAACCAGAAAAGGCCGTAACTCAGGGGCAAAACTGAAGGAAATATGTAAACAAATATACAGAAACACCGCCATATGATTATTTAACTATCTGATACAGTTTCTTACCATTCATGATATATCCAAAAATATGGGAACAAAAGTTACAAAATTCTTCTCCCGCTGTGTATGCACCCCTACACTTTTTGACTTCTTCACAAAACAATGTATGCAAACCAAATATTTTAGAAAGAACTGGGGTGGGGGGAGTTGCAGCACAAGAACCAATGGGGACCTAAGAAGGTTAAGAGTGAAGTCCCCAGCACAGACATTGGTAACTGGGGATGAAAAAGCGATCAGTAGCGGTGGTAGACCTATATGTTATGTTGGTCAGGCTCTAGAGGGAGACAAGATGCATACTTGACATATAGGCTTTGTGTATATTTACCGACAGCACAGATATTTAAAGACTTAGGATTCCCAAGTTAAGCTCTCCTTTCTAGAAGGGTCTCTGCTACCTGCCATTTTTCAGCTCATCTGCCTACAGGCTAGCTCCATCTCTTTTCTCTTCCCCTATTATCCACATTGATATGAACCTAAGAAACAGCTTGTGCTCCTCCATCCTCACAATTCAGCTCTTGGATACTTCCTTCCCCTGCACAAAAGCTTTTAAAACAGGCAGTAAGTCTGATGCATATTTTGCATGCAGTTTGAGAGTCAAAGAAAGCATGTATTGCTTGCGATTTTTGTGGTTGTATTTCTTTTTTTTCGTTTGGAAAAAAAAAAAGTGCTAGGTTTTTTATCCTGAACCAAGCTGACAAGATTTCAGTTAACTGGGTAGTTGAATACCAACTAAGCACTTAAGATCCTTGAAAATATTGTTTAATTTGTATAGAATTTAATTCTGAATGTTTATCAAAGATCTCTACCAGATTCTGCCTTGTAATATAATTGCAAAGTTAAAGTAATATATACTGTATAAAGTAGACCAAGAGCTACGCCTTACCTCTATCATGCATCGTGTCCTCTCCTGCTGGAACCGTTGTAGAAAAGGACCAACAAGGTGGTAAACGTATAGTAACTGGAACTCTGTTTTCACTATGGGTATCAATACTTCTGTGAGGAACCTGTAGTATTTCAAGACACCACTTTAACTGGATTTCCCCCACCCCAAATTCTAGCCAAAACATCACATTCTCTCCCACAGATTTGGGCGTTCATTTTAGAAAATACAGTGTAGTTCTACAAAATTAGTTATTTCAAATATCAGTTATTTCGGTGAAGCTCTAGAACACTTCCAGGCATTATTACTGGACTAGAACAGCCAAAAATTCTAAGCTCAGCAGAACACTACACACAGTCAAAAAGCTGTCCTCTGATGTTTTAACACTAGCCTTAAATCAAGGTTCAGGATTAACTGAGAGGAATACATTATACCATCTTCATTTTTGTCCAATATTTTAAGACTTAGTAAGTGAAGTCTGTTGGTTCTCTCATTAACATGGCACTGGGGAAAGTCTAATCAACTTTTTAATGCAGTAGTATTTTCTACTTGCTTTAATGATTAAGTGGACCACTACCACATCCTTCAGTCACCAAAGCATCTCAACTTGCAGCTAGAGGGTACTTGCTAGAATTAAGGATACATTTACACTGATTACAGTTGATGCTTTAGGAACATGCTACAGTCAATGGTTTAAGAAAACCAGAAATTAATAAAAGCATAAAAGCTAATCAAGATAAAAAAGGCTCATTAAAGGAGTGACACTCTAGCCGAAAGCCCCGAAGCTTACAGATAACAAGAGTTATGTCAGTGGAAGAGGGAGCTGCAAAAAAACCTTGTGATCTATCTGGTGAGTTTTGGAGCTCCCCTGTACATATTTGCTGGTCTAAGTGCTACAGATACAGCTTTGTTACCTACAATATGCATGGAATTTAAAAGACAAATGAAATCATCAAATACCATTACACCTACTTAGGAATGAGAGAAAGCTGTCCAATGCTAGAATGATGCCAGACAGCATGTGCCAAAGCCAAAGTGTAGCTACAACTCATCTCAGAGTAAGACTGGTGACATGCTGTGAAGTCAAACAGCTGGAATGGGTAACCAACCCACTCTGTCTCTGACGTCAAGCTGGGACTGTTGATAACGCTCACAATGCGATCATGGAGAACAATCCAGTACGGCTCCTGGGAAAAAAACCAAAAAGTCGGAATTGCTTCTGAAAAGAGCACTATCTAAGACAATGCTTCCTCATCTCTTTCTAGTATCACTGCATTTCTAAAATGTTTTTAACTCCATGGTAGTTTATAACCCTGTCTGACAAACATGAAAATTAAGAAGCACAATACAGAAAGCACCCATGTTAGTGGATGTGACACACTTGAGGGTGTGCCATTACCCAGACATATCTCATTAATTTAATTATTTAGCTAGCTAATATAAAGGTCTCCAAAAGAAGCAGAGCAAAGGCAAAAAGCCTTAATGGAAGGAGACTGAGAATTTTCTGAGTTTTCTGAGTACAAGCACAAACAGACCAAAAAACCAAGATGGAAACAGGGAACAAAAAAAGGTACAAAAGTCAAAGAATATAGATGAAGATGCAAGAAGACAGAACAGGAAAAATAATAAGAAAAATTATAAAAATAATAAGGATTAAATCCATGTTGGCTTTCTTCCAAGAAAAGGAACCATTTTGTTGGGGAAGAGAAGTCATAAGGAAAGGATAACTGTTGCACACACAAGCAAGAGGTAAGCAAGATCAAAGTTATTCAGGCAGTCCTGGTCAGGTACCAAGAACCATTATATTTAGAACATCAAAGTTTCTGCTTAGACACAAACTCTAATACTGCATACATTTGCTTTTGCAATTTTGGGCACATCTCATTTACATGGTTTAAGAGATACAGGATGTGCAAGTGTAAGCATTAATAGAAAATTAGCTTTGCATCAGAACCCTTATATCAGACCTTCTTATTTCATAGTTCCAGTTCTCAATTAATACTACACTCGTGTAGTTTTTAAATAGGAGTGATTTACTTCCTTTCACCCTAGCCTTAAAACCTAATAGAACAGAAAACCTGGTCAATTTTTCCATGCTGGAGGAGGAGATGTTTCTCAAACGTGCAAGTAGCCTTCTGAATAGCTCTCTGTGGAATCTACAGATGTTGCCTATCACATTGTAAACTGCAGAAGTTTTTACAACATACAATAGAAAGACGATAAACCTTACACGGAAGAAGAGATTTTTTTAATTTTAAAATATAACATATTGACTCACTGGTAATGCTGTGATAATTAGTCCAATAGCATTCATCCAAGCTGTGATATTCTCTCTTGGCACCAGGGGCTGACTAGAGACAGAGAAAAAGAAAACTGAAGCTCTGAAATTCACAATTGCAATTTGTGCTTCTAGTGCACCTAAAGACAAGCTATATTTATGCAAAGAATATTTCTCGAGAGAACTATACACATACAGGTATTTAGAAGAGTCAACAGATGGTATAAATGTCATTGAGATGTTGCTTGCAAAACTTCATTCAGGCAAGATTTTGCATTAGTAGATTCAAAGGCTGTTATCACACTGTTCTTCCTACTGAATAGGCTTCAGTGCTTAAGGGTTACTTGTCCCTTTATTGACTCCTTCCCTCCATGTGCCCCAAACACAGCTAACAATAATACATTACAAAGCTGAATGTGGCTGAAAAGGAATCCTTTCAGTTTGTCATTGCTCAAAGATGACATGTGAATCACTGCAAGAATACTAGGTGCTTTCTTTTACTTCACTTCTTGTACCGGCTGAGCAAGAAACAGAGCTATGGGTCAAACTTAATGCATCATTACAAAAGGCTAGCCTTGGCCCACCACTCTGTTTCAAAGCACTTACGATTTTACATTAGCATCAGGAGGATTCAGAGTCCTGCCGAATGCTTCTTGCCCCTTTCTTTGAGTTCAAATATGCTGTGATATTAACTGATGAAATGTCCTCCTCCCCGAAAGGCTTTTTCCAGCCTCTGTACTACTGAATCCACTGGACAAGTTCTTTGCCTGTGCGAGATCCTCCTTCCGTCTTTTAAGGGGATCATGCTGAATCAACTGTTCCTGAAGTACACACAATCCGCTACACACAGAAATCAATGATTTTTCTGATTGATCCCTATAGCCTTGTTTGTCCTCCAAAAATACTTTGTATATAAAACTTAAACTATTCATAGTTAATTAAAAATTTATAAAAACCTAAGAAAATGAGTATCACGGACTACCTTAGCAATTTCTAATTGTGTATTACATATTGCACAAAACCATTTCAGAGAGCCAACATACCTCTTCAGCACAACATTGAGCAGTGCATTGCCCACATCCTTCCCTGGAACAGCCAGAGCCATGAGCTCAACACAAGTAACATGGAGAGCATGGGCAGCTGGGTTAGGAAACTCATTGAATCTCCAGTCACAATTTGGAAATGGACCGGGTGATTTGCCTGCCATAGGTGGCAATGATTAAGGAAAAAAAGCTGCCTCAACATGGACTAGTGTAAGCAGCACACTGCTGAAAAATATATGTATATGCCACACATACTAAGTTGAATTGAAATGAAAGATAAGTTATTGAGAACAAGAATATAACCACATTTCATAAAAATAAGACATACGGACAAAAATACGAATATAAGGCAATGATACTCAATGACTGAAGGACTGCATGAATACATAGCTATTTTAGGACTGCTAAAATACATAGCTACAGCTATATACATAGCTATAAAAATATACCACACACACAAGGTCATGCAGAGGATAAATTTCTCCAATTAAGACATGGAACAAAACAACACGAGCCATCTCATTCACCACCTGCTTCCAAGACAAGAAGATGAAAATAACAAGAATTTGCTACCCTGCATAATCTGAAACCATTAATTTGCTTCAGTATAGGATCTTCTAGCAGACTTCTAGGGTGACAGTTTATGCAAAATGAGCACCTGCTTAGTCTCTGAAAATGTTCTATTTTCCCAACCAAGACTAACTCATTTGAGCTACATATTGAAAAGATCTCCGAACACACTGTTAACATTTGCATAAAAGCAGGGGTTTATATAATTTTAGCTTTCTTTAGAGAGATCTAATAAACTTCTTTCAAGTTATACATAAAAGAAAGGCAAGTTTGGGAAGAGGAGTGAAGGAATACACATAATATCCAGAAAACTGGTCAACTCCCATAAAGCTGACCCAGAAAGAAGGCGACGTCCAGGTAGATTCCACTAGCGCTATTCTCTAGAACAGAGCTGCAGGGGTTCACTAACTATTTCCACAGAAATTTAAATCAGCTGTAGTCATAATTGTAAAAATTGATAAAAGGCAGCAATTAAGAAAATGTAGATTTGTGTTAAAAATATAACTTCTAGTTTTTCACTCCTATAAACCAGATTCTCAGCAGTTGCTAACAGCACATATACTGATCTTCAACTAGACACAGCTAGTTATGTACCATCTTAAATGTGGCACTGCTTACAATATTTTATTCTCAGTATACTGATAACGTCATTAGAAAAAAGTAATCTTATTTTCTACACTTCTTTAAAAATACTCATGCTTTGTATCAAGGTGATTTTATGTAGCAATTAGAATTTAATTCAGAATGCATAAACATCAGCATTGTATTTATAAGTGATCCATTAAACAGTGAAATATTTATACAGCTGTACTTTATTTTGTTTTCAGCATATCTTTCAAGATGTTTTTACTAGGGCAGCACAGTCCCTGTAGAGAATAATAAAAAAAATGTACATTGAAGTAAACTAATATGAATTTAGACTGACTAAATAAAGACTCCAAGCTTTATTTCGTATCTGAATAGATGGAAATTGAACTTTACATTTTGATGAAACGAAGCTATAAGACATTGGCACAGCCTAATACAAACTTTAAGAAGGATATTGTCTACTAGTCTTCCAATGAGTTTGCAATAGTAAGTGTCATCAGGAATCCACGGATTTTCTTCTCGGGCATTCATAGCACATTTGAGATAAGTATCACTTAGACACCAGCCTAGTGGGCGATTATCTTTGAGAGAGCCAATTATGGCATGAACAAGTTTTCTCTTGAGGTTTGTGCGCTCTCTGAGATGCCTCTCATAATAATGAAGAGTGTTGTACAGGTAAGTCACTGGACGGTCTGCCAAGAAGAAAAGGAAAGCAACAAAACCCAGAAATAACTTCTAGCATCACTATTATGTTTATGGTGGCAAACATAAAACTAAAATCAAGAGCTCTATAAAACTAAGTTGTATGTATTTAAAAACAGTGCATATGGAATTGATTCACATTCGTTATTCCACTATACTCTACAGCATGTCTTGTACATATACTTTAATGTGTGTGCAGAAGGGTAGAAGTCAAGCGAAGAAAATAAGTACAACTAACAATTCATATCTTAACGATAATACTAATATATTTGTAAGTAAACCATCTAAATCATCTCTTCATATAAAAGGTATTAAATAGGAAGAATCCAGGTATGAAGTCACAGTGAAGAAAGAATATTGTAAATTGTCTGGGCATAACATAGCAATGACATCTAAACAAACGCTTATTATAAAAGTGCAGTTATAAAAGTTTAAACAAATCAGGTTAAGTTATTTGAATCTTAAACAAGGGTAGATGGAAGAACAGCTTTTTTATAGAATCATAGAATAGTTTG